GGGACAGCTGAGGGAGGGGGGGGCCGCACCGATCGTCGCTAAATACAAGCGATCCGCCGGCTTTACAGCCGGCGGATCGCATGTATATTAACAGGCATCGCTGCCCGTTTTTAAATTGCGGCCATTTCCCGCGCGCGCAGGGGGGCGTGTCTGAGCGGACGTCTAGAGACGCCTGCTCAGATCTAGAGCTCCTGGCCGGCCGTTTTTTTACTACGGCTGGCCCGGAGGCAGTTAAATGACAGAACAAACAAGAAGGTGTTTTGATGCGACAGCATATAAATATACAGCTGCAGCCCACTAGACCCAGTCATAATGCTCAATTGTTTTCTAACTTGCACTAGAAATACTACTTGGGGCATGGGTAGACAAATTAATATGGTATTCAGGAACCAGTCTGGCCAGTCTAGGCTCCAGCAGGATATCTTAGGAGCCAGCTCTATTGACCGTGACTAGAGAGAACCTGAAAATGTAGGTGCTGGCTGTCATTTCTGAAGAACTCCGGTCAAAAGTTTTCTTAACCCTTGCAGCTGAGCTACCCACTGCATCTTTGGTGTAAATTCTAGCAAGTGCATCCTAGTATATTTAACGCCTCACAATGCACTGTAACAAGTAAATACTACAGAGGTGTGCCTAAGGGCCCATTCACTCCACATCTCCAGACTAGATTGTTTCCGGACCCAAAATGCATCCTAATGTATCCCTATGCTATTTCTGGCCTTTGTTCTGGCGCAGTCTGTTCCAGACCAGACTAGAAGAATACTGCACGTCTCATTTTGTCTGGTCTGGAATGCACTGAAACACATCAAAAATGCACGCACACACTGGAATGCACCTGAAAGCCTATTTTGCGCAGACAAAAAAGCTTGAACGCTGCAAAACACCACCGAAGCTGTCCCAGCGCGCTAGCCTGCCTGCTACAATGCAGCGTTTTAGCAGATGGGATAGTGCGAATGGGCATTAGTGAAGGGCTTTTTAAATTCATTTCACCCAGCTTGCCATATAATCAACTTGCTTATATTTGGCATTTCCACCGATAGGTTTGTGATTAACACCAACAAAGCCCACAAAATTATACTCTCCATATTTATAAACATATCATGACATTTACATGGGCCTGCTTGCTCTTATGACACAGGATTTATATTCTATTTCTTTTGCGGTGTTCATACAGTGCAACGTTTAACAGATGTAGGTTAGTAAAATGTTACTAATTCGGTTTTCCTAAAACCTTGTATATAACTTGTAACGAGCCCCTGCTCGCTTGGTTCGACTCTACCGCCACTCCTCAGATTTCAGACCGCAACGTCTAATTCTTCGGTCGTCCCATGCTCCGGGATTCTAACTACAGCTATGTGCCGTTCGAATCCAGTTGTGATAGCTTAGAACAAACACCAGGCAGGCTGTATGTAATCTGCTTTATTGAATGCACACACACACTTTTATACACAACAGTTTGAACACCCTGCCCAAACCAACACCTTCCTATTGGCCATGCAAATGAAGGCTTGAAACAGGGTCAGCAAGGATTCGTCTGATAGCTTGAATGGGAGAGCTGATATGTGTAATGACACCGAGACGTCCCAGGAGATAATTACAAACAGTCAAACACAGAGTGATTTAAACATAATACAGGGTGGAGGACCCACCACTGTGTAATAGAAGCAAGGAACAATGGTTCAGTATTCCAAGGACCATGACAATACTCCCCCATGTGAAACAGTCCAACAGCCACAGTGGGACCCCGAATGGGTCAACTCGAGGATGTTGGAAAATTAGTCTTAATGTTCCAGGTCCCTCTGCCGGGATAATCCATTGTCATTAACATTGGGTTTCCAGAGCCGTTATTGAATTGTGAAATTGGACGGCTGTAGGGCCAGGCTCCCCCGCAACAGCCGTCCATTGGGGGGGTCTCTATAGTCCTAGGTCCATAGTTGCTAGGAAGGAGGCTAACCCCTTTGGTCTATTCTGCAGAAGCGGCTAAAGCTGCTGTTAGATGAGTTTCACAGCTTTCTAATTTAGTGATGAAGGTCTCGTGCACTCAGCTTTAATGGGCCCGGCTGGCAGAAAGATCCTGCACTAAAAAAACCAGCATGAAATGGTCAGTTAAGTGCTTGTCTTTAAGCGCATATAATGCCAGCTTTTAGATGCGTACAATTCTACTTTCATACCATTCCATTAAATTTACTCATGTATGGCGGTAAGAAATGTACTGATTATTTATATATAGATATGTAGATCTATATGTATCCGAAAATGTTTTTATTTTTTCAAATTTTATTAAATATTTTTATTACTTTTAGCGGCTTTGGGGAAATATTACCCCTGATATTTCCCTTTTCAAATAGAGAAAGATTGCGGAGACAGTTTTTTTTTTTTTTTTTTTTTTTTCCTTCACCCCCTGT